ACATGGCTAAATGAAACTTTGAGAAAGAGAAGGGGAGATTTTCCTGAAGGGACAGAAGCCTAAGGATTTGAAAGCCTTCCCGCACATTCTCCTCAAAGGAGGTAACAAGTTCTAGTCTTTATATACAATGAATCTCTCAGTCCTTATTGGAGAAACTTCTTTTTTTTATTAAATATTTTTATTTTATAATTAACTTAATTTCACATATCTGCCGCGGATTCCCCTGTCCTCCCTCCTCCCACCCCCCAGCCCTCTCCCCCAATCCAACCCCCATTCCCACCTCCTCCAAGGCAAGGTCTCCCCTGAGGAGTCAGCCCAGCCTGGTAGACCCAGCTGAGGCAGGTCCATTTTTACAGTAAATGGTGATTACTATAGAAACCAACAACTAGACCCCATACAGAGAGTAAGCAGCTATGCAGTGCCCAGCTCTAAAAGGGGAAGTTACATCATAGCCGCTCTCCACAAGGACCAAGGATCATCAAAGAAGAGGGAAGAGGAAGACTGTGAGAGCTGGAGGTGGCAGACACCAGCTACAGAACAGCCCACAGCACTGCCACAATAGAAAGTGTGCACAAGATCTTCACAAGAGCAAGCCAACCAAACTCCTAGCAACCATGGCAGAGGGGCTCAAGATGACCCACCCTTAGCCCAGGATTTATAGACAACCGATGGCTGTTGGAGGAGAGGCTATCTGTGATGGCTAACCTTGGCTTTCAACTTGACTACCTCAAGAATTAATTAAAGCCTAAGATATCCAGTCTTTTTCTTTTCTTTCCTTTTCTCTTCTTTTTTTTTTTTTTTTTAAGACAGGGATTCTTTGTATAGCTTTGGGGCCTGTCCTGGAATTCTTCTCTGTAGACCAGGCTGGCCTCGAACTCACAGAGATGCACTTGCCTCTGCCTCCTGAGTGCTGGTATTAAATGCGTGTACCACCACTGCCCAGCAAGAATTTTCTTAATAATTATTTGAAGCAAGAAGACTTATCCTAAATCTGGGCCACATTTTCTAGTGGCAGACCACATAAAAGAACACAGAAAAAAATCTAGTTTTTTTGCCTACTTGACTTCACCTTCTCTGGCAAATGTATATATCTTGTTGCTTCTGGAATTAAATCAAACTTCTTCAGGTTTCTAATGTGCAATGAAGACCATTAGACCCCAGGACTGCAATGCTAGATTGGGGCTGCTAAGATGTCTAGCCTTGTGGGCTGAACAACTCCTGAATTTCCAGCCTTCCTGCCATAACACAGCTGTTGTTAGATTCCCTAGACCACATCCTGAGGCCAGTATAATAAATCTTCTTTAATATTATAATTAATTATATTGCCTGTACCTGTTGAGAACCCTGACCAGTACACTTCCCATGCCCAGTATATGGCCCCACACTCATGTGCACACAGACAACACTAAGTGGACTCAATGGGTTTTTACAAACAAAACAAAACAGAAGTGTGCATGAAGTTGGGAGGAAAAAGTTGTGGCAGTTAAAGGGCAGCAATTGGAGGGAAGTAAATGAGGGTGGATTTGATCCAAACACATTACCAAAGAGGACATAGGAACTAAAAATTAATTGGAACTATCTCAAGTTTTGTTTTTGTTTTTTTAGTTGGCACAGCTTCTAAACCTGGAACTCTGAGAGCATGGTACCAGAAGGTTGGGTTCTGGTGAGGATCTTTCTCCTGGCTGGCTGTGTCTTCACAGAGCTGTGTCCTTCAGGGAAGACAGAGCATCCCTGAAATCTCATACTTTATAAAGAAAGTCATCACATTAAGAGATTTCAATTTTGATCACATCTAAACCCAAGTGAGTCCCAGCTCTGGGTTAATTGCATCTGGGGTTAAGATGTCAAATTATGGAGTGATACAAACATTCTTTCCACAGCACGCATTATCCTGATGATAATGAGATCCCGTAACACTTTAAATGGTGTTCACAAGAAGGCAAGCATGAGTAAAAGGAATACCCACCCTACCAAAACTTATGCTACCATTTGTAATGGAAGTTTTACTAAATAAACACAATATGGCTCAGGAAAAAGGAGAGATGTGTGCTGAGCTTCATCTGGAAGGAAGGCTGCTAAGATGTCAGCCAGTGTGTGTGAACAAACCCAGCCCAGAGGGTGTGAAACTCTTCATGTATGACCTGGCTTTTAAACTGGGCAAAGAGAACTAAGTAAACTAGCCTGGGATTGTTGGTAGTAAATGGCCACTCAAAGAAAAGGGAGTCAGATCTTACACTCTAGTACCTGACTTCCCAGGTTGCTGCCCTTTGGCTAAAATCTCCCATAACCAAAGGGACTTCATATCTGGTAGTATCTAGAGAGGATATTTTAGGTCTGTGACCAGTCATAAGCGCAGTGAGAAAGTGGGTTTACATGCATTTATAGTTCTCAATGTTTAATATTACTTTAAGTTTTCTATAACACTAATTATTCCAGAAAGGACTTACTTCCTTTAAATCAGATGAATAAAGAATATTATAGTAGGAAAAGTGTGATTGTCTCATAAAGTATCATTGATACAGTTACCAATGCTGTGACTACTGAATTTCGATTTCTATCCCAATTATCCCTGGGCTTCACACTGATGCAGCCATATACCTGAAGCCAGCTCGAGTTTGGCATGCTTAAACATGTGTCATCTGCCTCTCACATACCCATCTTCCACAGTTCTAACACACTAGTAGTCATCTGCAATCTTTCAGGGCCTTCTCTTTGTAGACAAAGTCAGGTAAAGTAGCCATCTCTGGATTTACTGTTACAGTTTTTTGTTATTGTGTGTATGTGTGCTTATATAGCTGTAGGCAGAGTTTCCTGTCCCACAGCTACTCTCAAATAAACAGACTGAGGCTTATCTTAATTACAAATGCTCAGCCAATAGCTCAGACTTGTTACTAACTAGATCTTACATTTTAACTTAATCCATATTCCTTATTTACACGCTGCCACATGGTTGTACCTTTATTAGCATGACACATTCATTTCCTGCTCCCTCTGCATCTGGCTGGAAACTCCAGACTCTGACCTTCTTCCTCTCAACATTTCTCCTAGCCTGGCTTTCCTTCCTAACCTTATTCTGTCCAGCTATTGGCCAGTCAGCTTCTTTATTAAACCAATCACAGTGACATATATTCACACAGTGTGAAGGAATCTTCCACAACACATATCTGCATGTATGTGTGCAGGCAACATGTATGTGCACAGGCAGCCATAACATAGCAGCTTGTGGAGGTCAGAGGACATCCTGCAGGTGTTGGCTCTTTCCTTTGACCATGTAGATGTTAGTGGTCAAACTCAGGTCACCAGCCAGGGCAGCAAGCACCATTACCTACTGAGCCATCTAGCTGGCTCATTCCTTGCGGTTCATGTCATTTTTTTTTCTTCTCAGCTGTTTCACACCTTTAATGTATTTTTCTCAGATCAACCTCTTTAATGTGAACAATACAATCTGTTGTTCAAATCTGTTAGATGGTCTTATAATAAAAAACCTGGAGTCAGCCTGGTGGTGGTGGCACATGCCTTTAAACCCAGCACTCAGGAGGCAGAGCCAGGTGGATCTCTGTGAGTTCAAGGCCAGCCTGGTCTACAGAGCTAGAGCTAGGACAGGCACCAAAGCTACAAAGAGAAACCCTGTCTCAGAAACAAAAACAACAACAACAACAAACTGTAGCCAGATATTGGGGTGAGAGCTGAAAGATCAGAGAAGCAGAACATCCAGTCTCTAGTTCTTACCTCTATGAAATCTTCAGTCTAAAGAGAGTGAGTTCCTGTCTCCTCACACCTTATATACCTTTCTCTGCCCTGCCATGTCACTTCCTGGGATTAAAGGCCTGTGTGCTTCCCAGTGCTGGGATTAAAGGTGTGTGCCACCACTACCTGACCTCTATGTCTAATCTAGTGGCTGGCTCTGTCCTCTGATCCTCATGCAAGTTTATTAGGGTACACAATATATCACCACAACAAACACTTGTACAAAACCTAGCTTGGCTCCTCTGTTTGTATGACTTTCCTCATTTGTATGACCAAGTATCTGACAAGAAGTCACTTTAAAGGGCACGAGAGATTATTTTAGTTTATACTTTAAAGACCAATACACATGCTGTCATGGCAGAGAGGAGGGATACAATCTAACATGTCAGGGAAGTCCTGGAGGGGAAGGGATGAAGCAGATGGCCACTGGATCTGTCATCAGAAATCAACAAGGGGACAGCAAGGGAGGCTAGGCTTGAAAACCTCAAGGCCACTTCCAGTGTCCACTTTCTCCAGCAAGGCTCTGTAATCAGAAATTTCTGTCCCACCAGCAACTCCCAAATAATTGACTCGGAGGCTTAATATTAGCTATAAATCTTCGGCCAGTAGCTCAGGCTTATAACTAACTAGCTCTTACTCTTAAATTAACCCATAATTCTTATCTATGCTTTGCTACATGGCTTGGTACCTTTTCTCAGTAGGACATTCTCATCTTGCTTCCTCTGCATCTGGCTGGCGACCCCTGACTCTGCCCTTCCTCTTCCCAGAATTCTAGTCTGGCTCTCCTGTTCAAGCTCTTCCTGCCCAGCCATTGGCCAATTGGCTTTATTATTAACAATGAGCATAAGGCACAGTAAGGCTCTACAACTTCCTCAATCAGTGTGCCTAGTGAGGACCAAGTGTTCAAACACAGGAGCCTAGAAGACACGTTTCATATGGAAGCTACGACAGCTCCCTCCAGGTGATGCCATGTCAGAGCTCTGCTTCTCCCTCTTGACACTCACACACCACCAGTGGCTCACACTGCAGCACGAGGACATGACCAGGAAGGCTCCGCACTTTCCTTGGCCCCTTCTTCTGCTCTTTATTTCCTCAGCTCTCTTCAACGTCATGTGAAAGCCTCGCACTTCCAGAGAACGTAGTCCAGCCTTACTCACACAGTTCCTCCTTTGACCCCACCCCCCAGCCTCCTTACCCTGCCCCTCCACTGCACTCCCTTCCTGCCCCCAGCTGGTGACCCATCCCATCTGGATACACAGGGTTCTGGTCTTCCCTCCGTCCACTTCAATGCTATGTAACGCTGAGTGGGAACTGGGCTTTATTTATTTTCCTTTGTGTCACTACTGCCCAGACCCATGTCTGAAATGAAAAAGATACCAAATAAAAATGTGGCTCATGAATGAACATTACAAGCCATATTTTAAAACCAAATATGAGAATTCTCATTTGCGTTTTTTAGAGACTCTCTATCCTGTGTCAGACTTTACATATGAAATACAGAAACTGAATTTTAAATTAACACTAAAGTTTCTATGAGGCTAATGATTGTATTTGGGGGCTCTTTGTTTTATTTCATTTCCACTTTAAGGAGTTACTAGTACAAGTTTAAACTTTCTCCAGAAAGTTGAAAAAGGAATATTAGAACTGAACAGAAATTTCAAGGTATCAAACGATTCAGTCTTTATAATACCCATTCATTCTTCAGCTCAAGTGAGCAAAAGAGCTCCTTTATCAAAGGATGATTATCAGCTGAGTTTCCCATCATTGTCCTGTACCTCACCACTTCTGAAAATCACACATAAAAATGTCTTCTAGTAATACCAGAAGCACAAAGGCAACAAAAGATTTCATGGAAAAGAGAATTATTCTCCTAATCCTTCCCAGGTTAAGTGCAGGCCTTCCGTGATTGCCTTTGGCTCTGTTCACGTCGGAATGAAAAAGCACTCTCTGATTAAATAACTTTCCACTGCCTTCGACTTGCCTTTCACAATTCTTCTGTCGCATGTCACGTCATGTCCCGATACACTCCAGGGACTAAGGACGATGACAAATTGGGGAAATTAGAGTGGAGCAAAAATCAAGTCCATACTGCTCCCTGAAACGGGTGGATGAACGCAGAGGCAATTGAAGGAGCTATGCTGGGAACTACAGAAATCATAAGGATTACTCACTCAGAAATGTTTGCTAAATGAATTCCCTTTCAAAATCCATTTCCAAAACCTTCGTAAATGCCTCCTATTGATTTGAATAAATTCTACCTGTAACCATGGGGGGACTCTCGGTAAGTTCAATATAAAGCAGGTCAGCCGTGCCTGGGTGGATAGCCCCACAACCATGAACATATGAGAAGCACTAATTGGAAGCTATGGGTTATAAAAAAAAAAGAAAACAAAGATATGAGACCGGGGAGGGGTGGGGATGGAGGGTAGATCTGGGAGGAAGTAGGGGAAGAGTTGGGGTGAATCTGATCAAAGTACATTGTAAGTTTGTATGACAGTCTCAAAGAATTAGTGAGAGTATTATATATTTTAAAATGAATTAACCCCTAGAAAGTAAAGAGAAGGTCTAAAGAATAAAAGCAACTTAGAAACCACACTGACTGGTGCTTCCGAACAATGGAAAACTAACTGAAAGAAACTTCCGCACAAGAACATCCATCGAGAAAGGAAAGTCTTGAGAGTCACGCTCTTGACATTTTCATTTCTGTGTAAAACGAACTATTCAGTTGCTACAAAGAAGATTGGGAGCAAAATTCACCTAAAATCTATCTAACAAACAGCACGAAACAATTCAAGGTAATAAAAATAGTAGCCAGAGTTTCAGCCTTGTCAAAGAAGGAATGACTCATGGAAGAAAGACATGTACGAAGACAAATGAAGAATTACGTGTCTTCTAACCCGATAAGCATAAGCTTTAGTTTGCGGACAAACCATGGGAACAACTCAAAGCTGTTGTGGCTGTTCAGAACTTCAGAGCTTTCTTGAAGTATCACTATTTTTGCAAACAAGGATATTAACAAATTTGGTGTTCTGAGGCCTGCAATTTGTCGGTTCTCAGTTTCTTTGTTTAGAGCTTTCGCTAGTGTTGTTAACTGTTGTTGCACATCATAAATTAAGGATTTTTTTTTTTTTTAAATGCTGTTTTCTTGAAATTTCCTTTTACATTTAGGAGAAGGCTTCATAGGTGCTGGAGAGATGGGGCAGTGGTTAAGAGGTCTCACTGCTTCCCAGAGGATCTTTGTCTGGTTTCAGCACTCACGTCTGAAGGCTCTCAAATGCCTATAACTTCAGCTCTAGGGCTCAAAGCAATGCCATCTCTGCCTCTGTGGGCACTCCCACACATGGCATACATCACACACCACACACACACACACACACACACACACACACACACACACACATGCACAGACATACACATGTGCACACATTTACACAAAGTATAAAAGAAGGCACCTTCAGGGGGCTGGGGCACCTGTCTTGGGCTATAGTACATGGATGTCTAGGACAGGTAGTCACTGGGCTGCAAATTCTACTGTGAGCATACAAATCTGTGTGTGTTCCTGTACTACAACCCATAGATGTCTTGTATGGAAATGGCTTGTGTGTAAATTGTAGTGTGCACACACAGAGGCATGGGTGTTTCTCTAATACGTTCCTGTTCAGACACCATGGTCTTAGTTATGGTGAGGTCACCTTTCCCTGGAAATTTGTCTTCTTGTTCCAGGTTTGTAGATATTCAGTATCAATATCTAACAAGTATCAAGCAAGCCAGGAATTCAGGACTCTACATATACACAAGCAAAAGTGATTCAAACAATGGAACCAAATGGAAGAGAAGCAGCTGCAGAGGCTATACCCAAGTCCTGTCAGGTGAGCTCTGCCAGAGGAACAGTCCCCTGGAGGCAGGTGGGTCCTCAGCACAGGTGTTGTCTCAAAGCTGCAGAGCTGTGGTGCACAAGAAGGGCCTTTAAGTACAGCTTAAAATCAAGCCTTTAAGTTGCGATGCTGTCAACTAACCCTCCTCTCCCAAGATAATGTGGCAAAGCAGAAACAAATGTGAATCAATCTCCTCTGCAGCTATTAGACAGCTGCACCACCCACCCCCGGGGACGCTATTTCAGAACTCTGCAGCAGAGGGAGGGCTCAGGGAATTATGTAATGCCAGCTTTGGGGCTCACCATAATTCCTGAGGTTTTCCCCTTCATTCTAGAGAAGCGTTTCCACAGTCAGCCATGAGAAAGAGTATTTCATGCATCGTAGGTGATGTTTACTTCTTAAAAAGCAAAGCAACATGCAAATGAGAGAAACTCCTGGCCACCTTTCTTCATTTTTCTTTCTGAAGAAATGTGTCCTCTAATTTGAGAAAATTTATGTTGAACCAAATCATGAAGATGCAAATTTGAAAACACCTCATATTTGCTTCACTAGGCTCTGCCCACCACCCACCTCATAATCCAATTGGTACTCATTCTTACTTGTTGATGGACAATCTCACTACCTTTCCCAATACTCCAAAACAGGTCAATGGATTTCCCGGTTGCTTGGCAACTTGTATGTTTGATTCTGATGTCCTTATAAGATGCGTTGTATCTTGAATCACTGCACATACTCAGCATAATTAACAGAATATAACAGTGAACAAATATCTTTGCGAGCTCATGATGGAACACAATAAATAAATAAAGAGGGTAATCTTTTTTTTGAGGGGGACAGACCTGTGGGGACTGACAACTAGGGGTGATCAGGGTACATTATGTGAAATTGCCTTATAATCAATAAAAATATTATGTTTAAAAAAAAGAATGCAGGATCAGACAATGAACACATCAGAAAAGATGCTTCATGGATCATATGTTCCTTCAAAAATTGGACTTGGGAAGAGAAATGGCAAGAAAACCCTCCAATATTTTAACAGTGGAAAAATAGGTAGTGACAAGTCATGATGAAGGGTGACAGACTTGGAGCAGAAAAATTAACGTGGTGGGAAAGCAGACATTATATTTAGAAGTCCTTCAGAGAAGGTGTCTTTCATAAACAAAGCAGGCTAGAACTCTAGGAACGTCTCAAAGCCTGGAGCCCCACAGGCCAAGTGGAGGAGTGGGTGGTTCTCCAGGGAGTCACAGGACTATGCCAGGGTGAATCTTCTCAGTCTCTTGCAGCTCAAGGAAGATAATTTGGATTTAGTTTTTGAAGTGTAATGAAGGGCAGTAGAGGTTCATCAGTAAAGGGGTGTTTAGAACTGAAAAAACTTTCACCAAGATGGGTCTTCTAAAGAGTGAAAAGAGGAAGCTGGAAGAGCTTCACATGTGATTGGACAACTTACTCCTTGCTTAGCAGGTCTGTCTGAGGAATGAGGGGATGGATATGCAAGAGTCGTGAAGTCTAGAAAGAACATCTTTCAATGCCCACCAGTACAGCTTGTGGGTAGTTGCTAGTGGCTGTTTGCTAGAGATGCCTCAACAAAGAAACACAGACTGGGTATTCCAAACAACACAGACATTTTGTCAGTGATGTCTGCTGGAAGTCGGAGATCAAGATGTTGATGGATCGGTTTCTTCTGACACCTCTGTCCTTGGGTTGGCTGTACTGCTCAGTTGTCTTCATACTAACTTCCTCTTCTTTTAAGGACATCAGTTACATAGGGTTAGTGCCCACTCAACCACATGTCAAATTAGTCCCTTTCTTAAAGTGTCTGCCTTTAAATACTACTGCCTTCCAAGGCACTGGATGTCAGGACTTCAACACGCACTTTAGGTGGTTGGGGCAGGGGACACACTCCAGCTATAGCAGGAAATCAATAAATTTATTCTGATAGATGATCATGCCTTGAACTTAGGTGGTTACGGTGGAGATAGTAAGAGAACAGAGATGCAGAAAATATCTTGAAGGTAATTCCAACAGGATTTGCTGGAGCTTGAACATGTTGCATCTGAAATTTTAAGATTAGAGCTGTGAAAATTGCATTAGGAGTAGTGGCATTTTCTGAGGCAAAAAGAAGTAGAAAGAGAATTGTGGAGAATAAACTGTAGATTCTGTCTAGACATTTGGACTCGGAGATGCAATTTCAGCAGCCTAATGACTGGAAAGCTGGAAGGTGAGATGAGTCAATGAAGTAGGTCATTTTAAGGATGAGAAAGCTTGTTTTATGAAAGCAACTGGAGTGTTTTTCTGCATGCAGTACATTTTAAAGCTGTCAACCCCACAGCGCCCATGACTGAACATTTCTATCATCACACGAGCCTCTTCGAGCAGTGGTGAAGAGGTCCTGGAAGAGAAAAATCCATGCAGAGTTCAAGTACTCACAGCTCACTGAATGTCAGACACCATACAAATATAAAGAGTAGCCTTTCTCCTACAGAGAGCCCTGGGAAATTCTAGAGAAAACTGATGTTTCTAAACAAGGAGATTGGAAATGTATTGCTTACTTTATATTCCAAAATTGTGGACTAAAATGGATAAGAGATCAGATTTGGAAAATAGACTAAAATGTGGGAGGTGGCCTGTGTACAGCCTTTAGTTTAAGTTTTTAAAGATTATCATGATGTCTATAACCACAGGACAAAATAGCTAAAATAAGGAAACATTCCTTGGATTTTCATTTTACTCACTTATAAAATGTCTTGCCATTTCCTGTGTCTTCTTTAAAGTACACGATGGTCACAGGAGAAGCCATGATTTCAGTTTTATTTAGTTTTTTTTCTTTTTCATTTTATTGAAAATAGGGTTTTTTTTCTCACATCCTATATCCTGATTACTGTTTCCTTTCCCTGTACCTCCCCCACCCGAGTTCTTCTCCACCTCCCCTCCAATCTAAATCAACCCCCTTTCTGCCTCTCAATAGGAAGCAAAGAGGCTTCTAAGGGATAAACGATACAATATAATAGTATAGTATAATGATGAAACCCGAACTAGCACATTGGAATATGACAAAACCGATGGAGGGAAGGAGCACAAGAAACAAATACAGACATGGAGACCCACTCATTCCCCCACTCAGGCAGTCCATAAAAGCACTAAATTGGAAACCATAATTTATACCCCAAGGACCCATAGAGAAAAGAGAGAGAAGAAAAATTTGCAAATAAAAAATGAATAAAACAAAAATAAGATTTTTTTTTAAAGAAGAAAAAACCCTGACCCATTCTGAGACATGAACCTCCAAAGGTGCCCCTGAGTTTGTTTTCTATTGGCCATCTACTGCTGGGCATGCAGCCTACCCTTAAGAGTGATTTGTTTCCCCAGTGAGACTCCCTTGGAGAAAACTAAATTTTCATTTGCAAGTGGTTAATAAATTAGAGATGACTTCTAGATTAGGGATAGGGACATGTGTCCACTTCTCCTTTCAGCTCTAGGACCCCATCTGGTACAGACCCATTCAGACCCTGTGTATGCTGCCTCTGTGAATTTGTATGTGCATAGATCATATTGATTCAGATGGCATTGTTTTCTTGGTTTCTTCCATCTCCTCTGGCTCTTACTGCTTCTTATTATTTTCTGCTTCCTCTTCTCAGGGTTCCCTGGGCCCTGAGAGGAGGGATTTAATGGAGACATCCTATTTAGGACTAAGTGTTCAAGGTCTCTCACTCTCTGCATAATGTCTGGCTGTATCTGTATTTATTCCCATCTGCTGCAAGGGGAAGCTTCTCTGATGATGACTGAGAAAGGCACTGATCTATGAGTATGCAGAATGTCATTAAGAGTCATTTTATTGCTACATTACTTTTAGACAAGTAGTATTTGGTTTTACTCTAGGTCCCTAGACTAACTATTTTCAGGTTCTTTGTCACCCAAACAGTGTCATGTATGAGTTCCATGTTGTGGAGTGGGTCTCAAGTAAAATCAGATATTGGTTGTTTACTCCCACAAGCTTTGTGCCATAATTATACCAGCATGTCTTGCATGTAGGATACCATTGTACATCAAAGCATTCATGGATAGCTCAGTGTTTATGTGTCTCTTTTGGTAGCCTGTAGAGTACCTTCCTGTACCAAAGACACTGGAACATAGGGATAAAGGATCTATGTAGGAGATCAACAACTCCATGTTCACTGAGTTATGCACGTGCTGTTTTCCACAATGAGAATTTGCCATCCGTTCGTGGAGAGCAGCCTACAGTCTTGGCAAGGCCTGGGTTGTTTGAGGGTTCCTATGGAACCCCTTTGGCCCATAACTCAACTAGATGCAACCCATTCCTGGTACTGAAAGCTTCATTTGGTGACAAGAGATGGCCAGCTGGGGCTCTGTCTCACCCATTATTTAGTGATTTTATTTAGATTGCCTTTATAATATGTTCATATTTTAGGAAGTTGCTGCTGTATTAGGTTTCCATACTATTCTTCAAATGGCACTCAATTTTATGGCCCATATTCCCTCTTTAAACCCTCTCTTCTCTCATTATTGGGTCCTCTAGTTCCAGTCCCACCAACCTATCTATAAATACATATTCTATTTCCTTTCCAGAAGAGATCTGTCTGTCCCTCCATAGTTTATCAGTCTATTCCTAACCACTGTGGTTATGGATTGTAACTTGCTTATCTTTGAATTAACAGCTAATATCCACATATAAGTGTGGTGACATTTTATTTATGCTTTGATAAATAATGCTTGCATGGAGATCAGAGGGGAAAGTTGGCCATTTTAAGTAGACAAAGAAGTCAGGCAACTGTAGTACACGCCCTTAATCCTATCACTTAGCAGGCAGGATCTCTGTGTGTTCAAGGTCACACTGGAAACAGAGTCAGGTGTGGTGGCACATGCCTTAAATTCCAAAACTAGTTAACCATGGAGGTCGGGAGGTCTGTACAGACAGAAAGGAAGTGATGTACCTGGACAGAGAGCAAATCGGATGGCAGAACAGCAAGGCATATAGACGTGGGTAAACAGGAAGTAACTCACATTTGGAAGCTGCAGAGTTGGTGAAGTAAGGTCGACTGGCGGCTTTCCCTATTTCCCTGATCCTTCTAAGGCTTTCACCCCTATATTTGGCTCTGTGTTCTTTACTTAATAAGACCATTTAGAAATTCATCTACATATAAGCGAATACACACCATATTTGTTTTACTGGTCTCAGCTACTTCATTCATGATGACTGTTCCTAATTCCATCCATTCCCCTGCAAATTCCATGATTTTTTTAAATGACTGAGTAATATTCCATTGTGAAAATCTACCACATTTTTTAATCTATTCTTCTGTTGAGGGACATCTGGGTTGCTTCTAATTTTTGGCTTTTATGAATAGAGTAGAAATGAACATGGTTGAGCAAGTGTCTCTATAGTAGGATGGAATGATAAATGCCCATGATGTGTATATGCCCATGATGATATAGCTGAATCTTGAGATAGATCAATTCACATCTTCCTGAGGAACTGCTACAATAATTTCCATAGTGACTGCGCCAGTTCAAAGTCTCACTAGCGATGGATGAGTTCCTTACTCTATCTACATCCTCACCAGCCTGAGAGTTGTCAACTTGTTTTATTGCTCTTAGCCATTCTGATGGGTATAAGACAAAAATCACAAAGTAGTTTTGATTTGTATTCCCTGATGACTAAGGAGGCTACCTTGAGCTGTAAATAAATATCCTGAGAAGTCCAGCTTATGCTCGCTCAGACTCCCACTCTGTGATATGGTACAGTAACATTGACGTTGGGACAATCTATAAAGATTATTTAGAGTTCACAATTTGTACATGGCTGTGTGTGTGTGCGTGTGTGCTGTGTGAGTGTGTGTGTGTGTGTGTGTGTGTGTGTGTGTGTGTGTGTGCGTGTGTACTGTGTGAGTACTACCATAGGTGCCCTTCCTTTTGATATTAAAACTGCTATGGTTCCCTTCCCCTTCTATCTCTAACTCCTCACAGTTACTAGTCTATACTCTACCTCTGTGACTGCAATATCCACTACTGCTGCCTGACTGAAATCATGAGGTGTGTGTCCTATTGAGAATGACTTTTCTACTACTGCATAATTTATTTCAAGTTCATTCAAGTTCTTGTATGTATCAAGTGTTTATCCCTTTTCATTTATCCTATGTATAAGTAATACTCACAATAGAAATATACCATGGTTTGTCTAATCACTTGTGAATATTTACATTTCAACATTACAAGAAAGGGGAATATTTCAACTATATCATTTTGATACATTGAGTTAAAATGTGAAAACAAATTTTACTATTACTGTGCCTACTACGAAACTGAAAACATGAAGGCATGGACATGACTGGAAAAGGCATTTGCCACCAGGCTCCACAACCTGAATTCAGTCTTGGAACCACACAGTAGGAGAGAGCTGGCTCCCACACATTGTCCTCTGATCCCCACATGCCGCATTCAAGTTGTGTCTTCACTCTATATCTCTGGGGAAATTAAGAAATTATTCCTTCTATTACAGGATTTGGCAAACTGCACCAGAGAGTTGAATCATGAAAGTCTACTGTGAATTTTGTTCAGCTAGGCAGAAACCACCTGCATATGCAGCTAGACCTCTACGGCAAGGTGGTATATGGGCCACCAGGCCCCTCCATCCACCCACACCATCCTGAGAAGGATGCCAGAAGATTGCATCTACACCGGAGGTGAGATCCTGTCGTTCCCACCATGCCTCAGCTATTTTTAAAGAATAATGAACAAGATGAACCAGGATGACTCGCCCACAGCCCTGCAGGAGAGGAACAAACCTGTGTGTGTTAATGTATGGTTCTTAGAGTTGGCTCTTGAGAAAGATCAGCCCACCTGCTCTGAGCCTCTGTGTAAGACTCTCCATACTTCCTTTACTGAGCCTCATGAAAGGCTCTGCATGGGGCCATCGGCAGAGAGAAGCAACTTGTCTCTTGTTTTTATGCAGTTTTTAAGAAAGTCTCCAAGGAATGTGTTCAGTAAGGGTTTACCCCGCCTCTGAATCTTCCATATAAGTGTACTGGATTTGACTTCCCTGATCCTGTGTACAGATAGACTATGAATATGGGGTAAGAACATGTATTACAAGTTCTGAACATCTTTTTTGCTGCCATAATTGAGATCACTGTGTGTTCACTCAAGTCTGTTTTCTCTTCATCTGACATAAAATTAGAAGTTTTGTCCTGAATGTTATTGTAACTCATATGTGACCACCAGAAATTAGTCACATAAAGGTAGTTCTCCACCTGGCTCATACAAACCTCCCTATAGTGCCCTTCATCCCGAGGACAAAAAAGAGAAGGAATTCCAAGGTCCTAGGGGATGGTGCAGTCACAAGGTAGAGGTTCCTGAGGCCCTGGCTGGTTTAAAGAAAGTGCTTGATGATTTCCTTGGAGCTACTTGCTGCAATAGTGTGAATCCAGCCCTGCAGAACTAGGAAGCCAGAGGAGGCAATTGGTGTCTACTGAAGTCAGCTGGGTGCCCAGCAATGAAACAAACACCACCAAGCTTTCCATCAAAGATCAAAGAAAGATTCCACCAAGCTCTATGCACAATGCAGCCACAATGTCAGGTCAAATTTTCTAGACAGACACGGTGTCTTGACTTGGTAGCAAAGGTCAAACAGAGTGTCACCAAAGTATGTCATTTCAAACAAAACTCAACCTGCCAGAGCAGGAAGAGTCATGTCAAGGAATCTACCACACAAGTCAAACTCTGTGATGACATCTGTAAACTCTGTCTGCAGGTCTGAACTCACATGGCCCTAATAAGAAACAAAGAACTGAGAAAATTGATCAACATTAAGGAAATATTGTTGACAAAAGAATAGTAAGCACATTTTTACTCTTTATTATTATATTTACTTTTTCATCAATTTTTCTTTGACAATTTCACAATCTATAATGCATTCCAATTATTCTTTCTTCTCAGCCTGCCCTGTCTTTCCTCCTCCTGTTCCTATCAACTCTCCCACTCCATCCTTCTACTCCATTTTTCAGATTTATGACTTTATAGTTAGTTTTGAGACCCATAGCTGGAGAATTTCTCTCCAGCTCCAGCCAAGTCCCACCAGTCCCGGAGCCCACTTATAAAATAAACACACAGACTCTTATATTATTTAAACTGCTTGGCCATTAGCTCAGGCCTACCATTGTCTAGCTCTTACTCTTATACTAAGCCCATTTTTGTTAATCTATATGTTGCCACGTGTTCCGTGGCTTTACCTGTTGCCTCTACATGATGCTCCCTGAACACAGTTGGTGTCTCCTCCCCCTCTCTCTTCCTCTCCTTTTGCTGTCTTTCCTCACTGCTAGTCCTGCATATACTTCCTGTCTGGCTACTGGCCGATCAGTGTTTTATTTATACAGAGCAGAGTGATATCCACAGCAGAGAACTGTTAAAAATTCCACATATTCATGAGTACCATGTGATATTTTATATACATATACACTGAGTAACATCCCAATTAGCTTAAATATGTGTTCCCTGAAACATTTATTTATTTTGGTCTCGAGCCAAAAAGGTCAGACAAAGCTTTTCAGATAAGGAAATCAGCTCAGTGTAAACATTCGAAGTCTTCTCTTCTGGGTGTTTTATATTAAAACAAACTTAGAGGTCCCAAACCTACCCGAGAAGGAAACTGACTACATAATTTGTATGATCTTACAGGAGAACGTATGTTCTCCTCACTTCAGTGTGGCTGCAGGAATAGGAAACAAGGGACATGAATTAAGAGTTAAGGCTTCTAGGTTGTTTCCACGTACTGGCTATTACAAATAATGCTGCTATGAACATAGTTGAGCAAGTGTCTTTGTGGTATGATTGAGCATTCCTTGGGTATATGTTCAAGAATGATATATCTGGATCTTGAGGAAGATTGATTTCAAATTTTCTGAGAAACCATCATGCTGATTTCCAAATGACTGTACAAGTTTGCACTCCCACCAACAGTGGAGGAGTGTTCCCCTTGCTCCACATCCTCTACAGCATAAGCTGTCATCAGTGTTTCTGATCTTAGCCATTCTGACAGGTGTAAGATGGTAGTCAGAGTCATTTTGATTTGCATTTTCCTGATGACTAAGGATGTTGAGCAATTCCTTAAATGTCTTTCAGCCATTTGAGATTCTTTTGTTGAGAATTCTCTGTTTAGCTCTGTAGCCAATTTCTTAATTGGACTGTTTGGTATTTTGATGTCTAGTTTCTTGAGTTCTTTATATATTTTGGAGATCAGCCCTCTGTCAGATGTGGGGTTGGTGAAGATCTTTTCCCATTCTGTAGGCTGTCATTTTTGTCCTATTTACCATGTCCTTTGCCTTACAGAAGCTTCTCATTTTCAGGAGGTCCCATTTATTAATTGTTGCTCTCAGTGTCTGTGCTATTGGTGTTATATTTAGGAAGTAGTCTCCTGTACCAATGCATTCAAAACTACTTCCTACTTTCAACCTAGATACCCCTCAACCAAAAAACGGATTAAGAAAATGTGGTACATATACACAATGGAGTACTACTTGGCAGTGAAAAACAATGACATCATGAAATTTTCAGGCAAATGGATGGAACTAGAAAATACCATCCTGAGTGAGGTAATCAGACTCAGAAGGACAAACATGGTATGTACTCACTCATAAGTGGATACTAGATATAAAGCAAAGGATAACCAGACTACAACCCACAGCTCCAGAGAAGCTAGCTAACAAGGAAGACCCAAAGAGGGACACATGGATTGCCCTGGGAAGGAAAATAGATAAGATCTCTGTGAGTAAACTGGGGATGGGGGGGATGGAGGGTAGGAGTTGGGGGATGAGAACATAAGGGGATGGGATGGTCGAGCTGGAACAGGGAGGGAGTGGGAGAGCAATGAAAGAGATACCATGATAGAGGGAGACATCATGGATGTATAGGAAAAAAAACAGGTGCTATGGAAGTTCCCAAGAATCCCCAAGGATGACCCCAGCTTAGACTACCAGCAGTAGTGGAGAGGGTGCCTGAACTGGCTTACCTCAGTAATCAGATTGGTGAATACCTAACTGTCATCATAGAGGCTTTCTCCAGTAACTGATGGAAGCAGATGCAGAGATCCACAGCCAAACACCAGGCCAAGCTCCAGGAGTCCAGTCAAGGAGAGAGAGAAGAGGGATTGTATGAGCAAGCAGCATCAGGATCATGATAGGGAAACCTACAGAGACAACCAAAGCAAGCTAGTGGGAACTCATGAAATTTAGACCAATGCCTGTGGAGCCTGCATGGGACTGGACTGGGCCCTCTACATAGGCAAGACACTTGTGTGGCTTGATCTGCTTGGGGGGCCCCCTGGCAGTAGGCTCAAGATCCATCCCTGGTGCATGAGCAGGCATTTTGGAGCCCACTACCTATGGTGGGATACCTCCTCACACAGCCTTAGGGAAGGGGGAGGGGCTTGAACCTGCCCCTACTTAATGTACCAGGCTCTGCTGACTCCCCCGTGAGAAGCCTCACCTTCTTATTTGAAGGAATGGGGGCTGTGCTGGGGGAAAGGCTGGAGGGGCGAGAGGAGGGAAGAGGGGGATCTGTGATTGGTATGTAAAATTAATAAAAAATTTCCTAGGGAAAAACAAGAGTTAAGGCAGCTTTCCACATGGAGAGCAGAAGATTTGGCTTGTTATCAACTAGACACTATACTCAATTCCCATTTTTCTCTTCTGAATAAGATTTTTGTCTCAATTATACCATTCATCACCTCCCACTGTAGGACTTATATGAAAGAGAAGTCTCTGCATCATTTAAAGATCCTGGCTTTGGCCCTAAGGAGGCAGGCAAGCATAAGGAATACCTGAGCAATGTGAGACTCCACTTGGCTTGGGCTATGCACATGCCTCTCTTGTAATAAAGCATTTGGCAACCTGAGATCCTTACCTGCACATACTATGCAAATGCATGCACTCCTCTTCAAACAATGCATCTAGCAACCTGTTAGCAACTCAGTTGAATGAAGTTACACATAGATCTCACTCTGTAGAATAAGCTTCACCTCCCCCTAACAACCACCAAACTTAATTCACATTCAGAAATATTTCACTTATATCCAGGTACAGGGTGGGGGTGACAATCTGGCTTAGACAGTCATGTACAATGAGGCAAAATAGTATCCCCAAGGGAACTTTTAGGAAGGATGATCTGCTTGCCATGTTATACCTACACAAAACAGGGCAGGAATATAATTAAGATCAGATAGACTGCAGGATGGGAAATGATTATATAACTTAAGCTGTCAATCAAAATAGAGAACCACATAGACTATACCTCTTAATAACCAAAATCCTCCTTTTCTTGTATTCCATAAAAGCAAATCCAAAGCAATAGTAACAGTCATACAGCCCACTGCCATTCCTAACAATGTATTCCTTCCTAATCTGTACTATGATTTTGCTTTGAATAAAGTACTTTTGATACCTTTGCAATCTGTGTGCATCTTTTTTCAATTCTTGAATAAGCTATCAAGCATTTGGAAACACCTGCCCCAACCCCAGCATGACTGTTTGAAATCTTGGGTAGTGGATGTTGGGAAGTATGAGTGTGTTCTGTGGAGGTTATAAGATAGAAGTTTGTGTTTGGTGTCTGAAAAAGTACAGCATAGCAGATATTTGCATGCACACATTAAGCCATCTTCCTTCTCCTATCTCATCCACCCACCCCACCCCCTTGCAGACAAGTGTAGCAATGGAACTGCTCCAAGAAAAGAGTAAGATAATGTAATGATTTTGTCTCCTACAGTTGACCCAAAATATCCTCCCACAGTGACCATCCATTGTGTTCTTTCTTAAAGTCACATTATCAGATTCAGCAGATGGCCTGGGAGTTAAAGAGCCACAGGTGGTAGGTGCCTAGGTCCCTTATCAGAAGAGAAAACACCAGCTTCTGCATAAATGCGCAGCCTTGCTACATGAGGGGGAAATATGTGTTTTCTGTGTTAACCTGCTGGGATTTAGACATGATTTATTGTAACAGTTGAACGACATTGCTTAGTAAGGACTTCTTTATCAGGTTTTAAATATGTAATAGAAAGAGGTATTGTCTTTCTGGATTCTTATTTTTTAATATAATTTTTTATTTAAAACTTTTTTCTTTCCTTTTATATACCAAACCCTGTTCCCCCTCCCTCCCTTTCTCCTGCTCCCCCACCTACCTCCATCCCACCCCAAACCCCTCCTCATAGAGGATAAGGCGTTGGGTAGTCAACATAGGCTAGCATACCAAGTTGGGGCTGGACCTAGCCCCTGCCCCCTGCATCAAGGCTAAGTAAGGCATCGCACCATAGGGAATGGCCTCTAAAAAGTCAGTTCGTGTACCCTGGATAAGACCTGGTCCCATTGCCAGGACACCTACAAACACATCAAGCCACGCAACTTTCACCCACATTCAGAGGGCCTAGTTTGGTCCCATGCAGGCTCCCTAGCTGTCAGTCCAGAGTCCATGAGCTCCCACTAGCTTGTGTCAGCTGTCTCTGTGGTTTTTCCCATCATGATTCTGACCCCCCCTTGCTCTTATACTCCTTCTTCCATCTCTTCAACTAAACTCCAGGATCTTGGCCAAGTGCTTGGCTGTGGGTCTCTGCATCTGCTTCTATCAGTCACTGGATGAAGGTCACAGACAATTAGGGTAGACACCAATTTGAGTTCAGAGGAAAGCTAGTTCAAGAACCCCCTCCACCATTGCTATGAGTCTTAGCTGGGGACAATCTTGTGAGTTCCTGGAGTTTCCCATAGCTGCAGATTTCTCCCCATTCCCTTAATGGTACACTCTGTCAAGATACCTCTTTCATTGCTCTCCCTCCCTGACTCTCCCTTAACTCTCAAGCCCTCATATTCCCACCTCCCATCCCCTCCCCTCTATTTCCTCTCCCAGTTTACCCAGGAGATCTTAACCCTTTCCCCTTCCTGGGGTGCTACATGTATGTCTCTTTTGGATTCTTATAATCGTGTAAAACATGTGTCCTCAGGAAAGGAGAAACTGATAGAAGGGTCATTTTTCCCTTGGAGCTTTTCTAAAGGTCTGTAACTTGAGAGACATTGTCTAAGCACTCATGCCAAGTGTAGCTGAAGTTTTCTTGTGTCCCACCCGGTCCGCAGCCACTCAGACCCAAGTAAACACACAGAGGCTTACATTAATTAAAACTGCTCAGCCATTATTAGCTCAGGCTTACTATTGACTAGTCCTTACACTTAAACTCAGCCCATTTCTGTTCCTCTATATGTTGCTATGTGTTCTGTGGCTTTACCTGTGTGCCATTACATGCTACTCCCTGGACGCCGAGCTGGCATCTCCTGACTCAGCCTTCCTCTTCCCAGAATTCTCCTTGTCTGCTTATCCCGCCTATACTTCCTGTCTGGCTACTGGCCAATCAGCATTTTATTAAACCAGCGTACAGAAGCGTCATCCCACAGCAGCCAAGGGATTTCCTACTAGTCACAAAAGCAAGAAAAAGAGATGGTTCCTGACTTTAAGGCGCTCACGATAGTGAGACCATCGTACATCCACTTATAGATCTAAATTAAGAGCTAAGTACTGAAACATTCCAAGATCTCTACTAAAATGACATGTGTAGGTGCAAGTGAAACAAGATACATTGCAAAATTAGAACTAGCTTCAAGCTAAACTTTTACTGTATGTCAGTATGATCTTACAAGCAGCTGGTAAGCAATCATGGAGCCAACACCAGAAAAAAAGGAGAGAATATCTAAATAAGAGAATTTGTATTCACTGAAGAACCTTGATCTCTGTCCTCAGTAACATTTCCCAGGACATCCATAAGTCAGCCAGCTATGGGATTAATAATCTCTTGGCCTGAGTAGAGTTTTAAAGATGATAGGAAGTAGTGAAAAAGCTAGACCCATTGTGACAGAAAAGTCGAACCCCAGCTAATTCTGAAGTTCAGCTTTCCATTCTAGTGGTAGTGATGTTATCTTTACTCTGCGCCTGAGGAGCTATTAACAGTCTCCATAACATCTTGAGCAATTATCATCAAGGGAACCTATTGTTTGTTCTCCTTCTTTATGCATATCACAGCCCAAACTCTATCTGTGCATACCGAATCTGCTTTATTCCAGGGATTCACATAAAAGGAAATAATCTCATGTCGGCTGCTGGGGCCATGCTTCCATCAGTCCAAAGCTGCAAACACTGGGCCTCAGCTCTTCACAGTTGAATGTCTTATTCTGTTTTATATTCCACTGGGGATTTTGACTTTACAATCTTGTCCCTAGAATCTTAAAGCAGCAAATACCAAGGGAATTTTTTTTTCAATACTATTAACCTGTGGCCACAAATAACTGCTAGAAGTGTCTTGAACAAGAGGGGCTATAGAAACGCTATAATCCTCACATAGAAAGAAAACTAACTAGCTAAATCAAATGGGGAGGAAGGTTAGCAGGCATTCAGTGAGGATACTGTACGTAGTGTTTTCCTTTGACAGTGAAACACTTTAGCTATTTATTGTCCATCAAAAAACCCAAATAATTATTTTATATGGGGGCCAAAAATCTGAAATAAACATAGGAACACTGTTTTCAAAATTATGTTTGATGCGGTTGTTTGAAGTTTTAGTCTATACATACACCAAAGAAACATGTTGAATTTTTATTATCTTTAAGCTGTAAAAATCAACATCATTATGAGTAAAATAAAGACTAACCCAAAACCTATTTAACATTCTCCTGCACCCAATCCCCAAAAAGAGGCAGAATGGGGACCACATCTCAGAAGAAAAGAGGATAATCACACTGAATTAAAAGAGTTTACTCTGGATTCAGAATCTTCATTGTGAACTGAAGCTTGGAGTTAGTATTTGTGGCCAGGGATCATTTTTACTCCATGGACGCTGCTCCATGGATCTCCACCAATTCATCCCTTGCACTGTGGATCCTCACCAGTTCGTACTCTGCACTGTGGATCATCACCAATTCATCCTTTGCACATCAGAAAAGCTTTTTACAACTCAGAAATTACATAGCATAGGTAGTTCTTAAAGGCCTCCTGGAACCTGCTTTCAAAGGCTAATTCAAAAGGTTTTACTTTCCTTCCTTTTAACCAAATGCCCCCCTCCCCTGCCCGTGGGGGTCTGAAACTATCTTGTTACTAAGTAATTTGGCTTCTGGCTAATTAGAAATAAAAAGTTTGCTTTTGTTTATCCTTGGGATTTAG